GTTTCATTTTTATTTTCATTACGAGCATTGCAGAAGGTACCCTTCACTTGATTCAGCTTTAAACAAACACCATTTACCCTTCTTTAACTTCTCTTACCAAGTTGCCAAGGAGATGGACTGCTTCCATTGCCATGATGACGTAGCTTTTTTCTTTCTAACACATTTCTCAAGACGGGGAGGGGTTAATTAAGAGGGAAGCCTTGTACAGCAGGGGCAGCTCCTACGGTGCAGACACAGATGCATCAGCCGTCTGGCAGACTCAGAGGGAGGCCACTGATACACAGACTCAATTCTTGCTTCTTTCCTAAATAGAAAATGAAGCGAATGCTGTGTCTCACAAGATCCCCAAAGGAAACCTATTTACGTCGGGAGACCACTGTTTGCCTCTGTTACTCTAAAGTACTGTAACTGTGAAAGTGTAATTTGACAGTAAAACAATGAACCTCCAAAGGCAGCCTTCCTAAAATGACATTGACAGGCCATCTGGCACATGCTCACAGGTTAACCTGGCATGAACCGTCATTCTCAATCTCCACGTTCCTGCCCTCACAGCCCTTCTTACATTAGGACTCACGGCATTTGCTGTTCCAGCTTCCTCTGGGGGCTCAGAGAGCCCTGAAGGTATCTTTTGGATGAGTGGTGGGAACCTGACTCTAATCTTTACCTCGCAGTGTCTAGCTGTCTCTTCCAAAAACACACACGCCCGCACCGTGTGACATGACACAGGTCGGGTCTCTCAATTCCTATAGCCAGAAGAGGCCGAATTCGCCACGGGGAATCCAAATTTCTCAGCTCATTGACCTCCAACTTCCTTAGGATTTGGACTAGGTTTCTCCTACCAGTCTATCTCCTCTCATGATATCCAGAGCATGACACTGCCTAAGCCACCTTCTCCCACTTCTAACCCAGACACAGGCTACTCCTGGGCCACAAGAATGAATGGGACCCAGAGGAAACCAGTGTCCTATTCACATGGAACACCTATGTATTGAACACTTTACGTGGGCCATCCCTGCGCTAGAAGTGGAGACACAGGAGATAAGAGGAGACAGGTCCGTGGTCTCAAGCAGATCACTTCCAGGTGGAGAACAGAGATAGGAAACAAGTAAACAACCAGGAGCATGCAGAGAGTGATAAATATTGAAAAGTAAATCATAAAATATAACACGGATAGAGCAATCCAGTGTAACTAACATAGTGTAAGCCATATGGCTTAGCAATATGAATAGTATAATATGCTGTCAGTAACACAGAAATAGTGTAAATATAGTTTACATAGTAGCACACACAGTAAATTAGATAGAGGAAAGCAGTAGAGTGACTGGGTGAGGGGCGTGCAACTTTACATTAGAAATGACTCAAGCAGTCCCTTCTGAGAAGTGACATTTGAGCTGAGTTCTTACATCATTTATGCCACTTTCGGTGGCAAGTAATAAAATACCGTGGACCAAAATGGCTTTGACAACAACAGAAAGAAAAACACATGATAAGAAGTTGAAAAGTCAGGTGGTTCCAGGTGGGCTGGTCCGGTGGTCCATCCAGGTGGTCACTGAGGATGTGGTTCCTTCTGTCTTTCTCTCCTTCCATGCTCGCCCTGTCAGCCTGGTCCTTGGCCAGCCCTCCAAGGCTCTGAGATCACCACTGCAGCTCCTGTTGTCACCTCTCATGTGGCAGCATCCAGTGGGAGAAGGAGGGACCACTTTCTGGGCATCTCGGAGCCAGGAGGCCCTTCCCAGAATCCCCAGCAGACTCCTCACACCTCCTTGGCCAGAATTGTGTCACATGCCTTTCCCTAAGCTAGTCACTGGCAAGGAGCATGTGGCTGGACAGAAAAGAGGAAGATGTGCGTGTGTGTATGTGATGGGGCAGCAGTGCTGGTGTGTGATTGAGTGGCCCGTAGACAGCCAGTTATATCTGCCTCAGACCTGAATGACAAGCAGGTCTCAGTCACGGGAAGATCGCGGTAAGGCCTCCGGAGGGGGCATAAGCTCAGGAGAGCTAAGGGAGAGAAGACCCATGGGGGACTGGTGGGGAGTCTTTGCAGGGGTGGGCAGGGAGGGAAGCGCAAAGGGAACCTGGAGAAGGAGGAAGTACCAGGTCCTTAGGTCTTGTAAGCTGTGATCAGGAGTTTGGACTTTGCCGCGTGTACCGTGGGAAGTTCCTGGCGGGGACTGGTGTGAAAGGCAGGGGGGATAGCACTGGGCCAGGCGTCAGCAGTCCTGGGGGCTGGCGGGCATCATTACACACACAGGTGAAGCCCTGGGAAGTGATGTTCTCTTTCTCTACACTGGATTCGGTCCAGGTAAAATGAAAATCATGATGCCTGCCCCACAGAGTTACTAGTGGGGCTTAAGGCTTTGACAGGGGCAGGCAGTGAGGTCCTATACCAATAAGAGATACCTACTGCAGTTAATTCTCATTATTTGCAGTAGTTATGTCTTATAAAGTCACTGCAATCACTGAATTAGCAAATACTAAACCATTCCTCCGAGAGGAAACACACACATGCACACACACATACATCTCATATAGATCATAATAATCCTGAAAATTCAGGACAGTTGAGGTCTGTACTGTAGAAGGTAGGATGGGGAAAGTTCTAGCAATAGGTGATGCCCACCTGAGCCAGGGGAAGCTGAGGGCAGAACCCCCTGCTGCATCCACTGTAGAGTTCTTGTCAGTAAGGGACCTTGTTCTCTTGAGATAGGTCTGCGTGTAGCCACTGAGTGCAGGGATCTTTAGGGGTCTTATCGAATGTCTCCTGGGGCAGTGCTCTGGAGGGAAGGCAGGGGTTTCTCCAGAATGGGGCTTCCACCCCTTTCTAAGTACTTAAGGAAGGGCAGTCGGGCTCAGCACTGGGTCCCTATCGCAGGAATTTAAAATAAGAACATGGCGCTCCATTCCATTTTCTGTTCTAATAGAAAATCTTGTTCTGATTGCTCTCTTTACAATCCTGGGCACAATAATGCAGATTTACATCCCTCAAACATGCCCTAAAAGACAGCTGATTTGCTTGTCTCATGGTTTTTCTTCTCCCTTTTAAAAAGTAAAGCAGACAAGGAGAGGGGACGGGCAAAGTAGATTCTTTTAAGCTTCGAAAAGTGATTGAATTGTCTTTTTTTTTTTTTTTTTTTTTTT